ATCATAAATATATATATTTCCTTCTCAGAAAAAACTTTTCAAAATAGTTTTCAAACGTCTTCATTGGGATGCCGTGGCTGGGTGAGAAAAGTATTCTGTTGAAATGCTCTTTTAAGCTAGTTAGTCTTGCGGTTGTTCGTTCCCATCTAATGGTTTTTTCGCCTGCCTACGCTCACCTGCTCGTTTCGGAGAACTTTTTGCTGTGGCCGCAAACCCCATGAGCCCCACTACATATAAATCAAAGCTGTCGGAGCGCATTTTGAGAACCTTTCTCAAAACTTCAGCTGCTGCACTTGAGCGGCACACACATGACAATAACTCGCCGACCCACCCACTGCAATGCATGTGGCATGAACTGTATGTAGGCAAATACATATTATATACACATATATGGATAGATAGATAGCTAGCATTTTCATATTTGTGTGCTATGTGCAACCAACCCTTTTGCTGTATGCATTTGTTTATAAAGCAAAATCTGAACATGTAAAGATACAGTCAGTGTGTGTGGGTGTGTGGGTGTGTGGGTGTGCGGGTGTGTTTGGCTAGGGACAGGCAAAGAGTTAAGGAGCTATATTGTGGGGGTAATAAGTTTAATGTGTGCTACAAGCATATTTTAAGACGCTCTCGCTCTGTCTTTCCATATCAATCTCTTTCTCTCTCACTCTCGCTCTCTCTCTCCATCTGTCTATCGCTGAGCTTTTCACTGCTAGCCAGCTGTCAGTTGTTGTTGATGGTTGACTGCCTGCCAGCCAGCCTGCCTGCTGCCCGCCTGCCTGCCTGCCAGCTTACATTAGCAGCATCTCAGTCAGGCATGGGCCTGGGTCTAGTGTTCAGCCTTGATTCCCCTGCACTCTCGATATATAGCGAGTACTTCAAGTGTATACTGAACACTGAACTGTCCCAGCTGACGTTGAATTATCATAAATTGCTAAAGTTTGTTTTTGGCGTAACAAAACTTGGAATGCCACTTGCTGCTGCTGCTGTTGATGCTGCTGATGCTGCTGTTGCTGCTGATGATGGGCGGCTTGTTTGTTGTGTGTGTCTGTGTCAAAAGTTTTCATCAAGCGAAAATCAGCACAATTAGGCGCATGTTATGATGCCGAAAGGGTTCAAGGCTCAGTTATAGGCTGTGGGATGGGTGCGGCACACAACCCCTGCTGCTCTTAAGTGCAGTGACAGGCTTTACATAAGTTTGTTTGGCTTTGCTCGCAACGTCAATGTTGCATAATCCTATTAAATTCCCGCTGCGGCTTGCTTGTTCGAGAAGCAGCGTAAAGGTGCTTAATTTGCCGTTGCTTTTATTGATTTCCCCTCCACACACACACACACACACACACACACACACACACACACACACACACACACTCGCACAGTCTATATTCTACACTCTTTTTTACCGTCCCGCGCTCTTACACATATTAGGGGGCGGCAGCTAAAAGGCATTAAAGTCTTGACAAGGCTATTAAATGCTTAAGAGGCAGCGACGTTAATGACAACATCGAGCACTGAAAGGGCAAACGAGGGCAAGGAAAGCGGCGACGTCATCGTTGCTCAAGCAGAAGCCTGCTCTGGCAAAGAGCGCACAAGGATTACAATTTACGAGTCCTGCCAGCCATGAAGGTGTGATAAAATTTCAGCAATTAAAAAAACGTGTGCGTTGACAACGACGACCACGAGCAGGACGAAGTCCCAACAGAAACCAGCCAAGCTCCTCCCCTGAAGTTCCCACTTTGCACGCACTACGCTCTCCTGGCATGCAACTTAAAATGAATGAAAAACTTCTCCAAGCAATTGACCGAACCTCAAATACTCTGTTCCTATCCAGTTATTACTAACTAACTGCCAGAGAGTATGTTAATATTACTATATTATGGAGTCTTGAGTTCCTTCAACTCTGTTACAAGCGGCACGACCTCGTCGAGACTACCCGCCATGGGGCAGATTTCTAAAGACGGAATTGGCGGCATTTGAGCTGCACGCATAAAAAGTTGTGAGCAGTTAAAACGTCGTTGGCATTTGAAACATTTTTGAAACACAAGAGAGCAACAGCAGCGCAGCAGCAGCTGAGAATATTGCAAATTTATGCGCCTTCCTTTTGCATAATTACCGCACAACGCGTCACCCGCAGGCAACGCTACTCTACTTCAGTTCTGCCTCCCCTATCCTCAGCCCGTGCCACGCCCACGCACACGCTGATTTTGATAACGTCGCTTGGGTGCTTGCAACATTGCAGCGCGTATTTTTAATTTCCGTCGCCGCTCGCAATTCTCTCGGCATACGCGACGTATACGCGACTTTTGGCTGCTGTTGCGATAAGCGAGAAACATGTCAAGGTGTGCGAATATGTGTATGTGTGTGTGTGTGTGTGTGTGTGTGTGTATAGAGGTAGATAATGTAAAATTAAAAGGGAAACTGTGCAAAACAGCAAGAGGAAAGGGGAAAGGAGAAAGGGCAACGGCAATGGGAACGGGAACGGAACTGCGCGTTACAGATCTTGAATTATGCGTTTGCAGATTGCAAAACAGTCGGGCGGACAGACAGACAGTTCGAAATGTTCTATCTCTTGCATAGATACGAAATATATACTATATAAATTTAGCAGAATTTATGTTAAATGTTTTCTGCAAACTTTTAATTAGCCAGCTAAATGGCAAATGGCGCAGCGTGTGATATGATTAATGAAATGCTAGCATGTAATTGTGGGCAACACAACACGCAACAGGACGATATTAATGGGCTAGGGGAGTATCGCGAGTAAGAGGGTGGGGAGGGAGGCGTAGGATCTGTCGGTGGGATGATGATATAAATTGGGGCAAATTAATTGCATCTGCCTCAGGTGTGTGAAAATTTCAGTTGTAATTAGATGATGGAAACGCTGAGAGCTGTGAGCAGAAAAGTTTCACTCCATAATGTGGGGCGATGTATCAGTGGAAGAGTAGGAGGAGAAGCCTGAGAAAGTGCCAGATAGGGATGAAGGATGATAAAACATTTACCAATACCACGCCAATTTAGATGGGGGTGTGAGAACATAGCTTGACCAGCAGCTGGCATAAGATTGCATAATGCACGCGAGCGAATATTAATTGTAAATATTAGCTAGAAGTTCGTTCATAAATCAAAGGGAGACTAAAACACATAAACACATCATTCTCTTACTTTACTGTAATAAACTGTAGTAGAGTTTATCAGTTGCAAACACTATCTGTCTTGCTCTCACATATATAATTACTTCTATGTGCTTACGAAGGCAAGCTCACTCATTTTCTGCAGTCTTATATCATCTTTTAGTCTTATACAAAGGAATAAGAACAGCTGTACAGCAGCAAATACTAGTTGTCTCTCTCACACATACACAAAAGCTAGAAATTGATCAAACACCAATGAGAAGAAACCTAAGCGGAATACTATAAATAACTGTGAATTCTCTTAAGTTGAAGAAAATGTTATAGTTAAGCTGAAAGACTGGTTTGGTAATTCAGTGTTGCACAACAGTTCTGTGTAGCCTATAAGTAGTATAATCAATCAATCAATTATTCACTTTTCGAACCAGAACTACCACACTTCTTCAGCCTTTTAAATGATCATTTTATGTGAGCGTCCACTCAAATAACACAGCCTAAATGTATTGCCAAATGTGTTCTAAAAGCCACACACACACATGCACACAACCACATTCAAAGAATGTCGAAATGCAATATGAGCAGCACTCACTCTGCAACTATATATAGAAAAATATTTGGTTGCTATATGAGGCTGTAACTGCATTAAGAGCTGAACCACTTTGATATCAGTCAAACAAATGACAAACGACAACAAATAATTAAATCAATAAAAATTTGAAATATCTACATAGAAAACTACTCAAAAATTCCATCAGCTTCAATTACCCGTGCTCTGCTGGCAGCAAAGTGAAGTGAAGTGAAATGGGTATAGGCAATGGGGGCACTTTTGACTTTTGCAACATCATCAAAAAATTGTTGCCATACCAAAAGCAACACAAGAGGTCCTGCCGCATGCTGGCAAGGATGTGCTATGAGCATAGCAAACACAACGCCCATTTGCAGTCAACTGCCAATATGCGAAGCAGCCGCCCAAAAACAATCACAGAGCATGCCCCAACACCCCCTCCTGCCCGCCACTACAACCCTCGCCCAAAAAAAAGCGACTCCCAAATATTTTCAACAGTGGCCTGTCAAAATACATGCATACAAATGTATTTGTGAGTGTATGTATGTGTGCATAGGAATTTACATCGCATACACCCAACATTCAGCTCAGACTCATCTGGCGTCTGTGTCGAGGCCTGGCCAACATGTGCCAAGGAATCGAACAAGTCAAAAGACTAAAAAAACCTCAGTCAAGAAAGGGGTGTCCTGTCTATGAAGGTGGAGCGACTACTCAAATTTAACTTGGTAAAACTCTGAAAACATTGAGAGGAGGCAAAATAATGGAAAACGAGGATAAGGGCAACGGAAAGTAAACATAAGATGGGCCCGTGTACATTTTAAGCATTAACACAAATAAATTTAAGACAATTTTATGAAATAAGTAAAAACTTGTTGAAAGTTTTCAACTAGGAGTTTCGCTATGAAAGCAAATTTCTAAGAATATTTTTATTTTTAGCAGGATTGAACCACAATCCTGTACAAAATAAATCTATTTATATGACTTTCGTGAAGTATGAACAACTCCTTTTAAGCGCTGAACGAATGCAGGGTATAAAAAAAAGAAGACTGAAAAACGCATCCCACAGATGCTGCGTGAAAGCTTGGGAGCTTACGAAGTGCCTGTGGCTGGGAGCGAAACTCCGTAATATATATATATTTAAATATATATATATATCTTTTGTTAAATGACATGAATGTGTGGCCGGGAGCAGTTGGGCTTGAGCTTGTGCCTGCCGCACAAAAGTATGCTGCAAATTAAATATTTTCGTAAATTTTTCAATTAATAACCAAAATGGAAAAGCTCACACACAGTTTTCTTCCCGCTTGCAGGATCGACACGTCACACGCAACGGCGACACGGAGCCTGTCGTGGATCCCTCCCAGGATTACATGCTGATGCTGGGCTACGAGAATGCCACCCACACCGTCCTACGCTTTCGCCGCAAGTTGGACACATGCGATGCCAGCCATGACATCGCCATAACGGTAAGCACCGTCGACGTTTAATAGATATATTGGCCAAAGTTTGTGCCAAGTGAAATTTATGCACTCACTTGTGCCATGCTTAACTATTGACTCACTCTCTCACATGCTCATAACAAGTGTGTGCGTCTCTCTCTCTCTCTGTGTGGGTGGGTGGGTATGTGTGTGTTTGTGCGTCATAATTTATGTTAATAAAAAGTTTCTTAGGTCTTGAGTTTTGGACTGATGATATAAGCGCTGCCATCAAAATACTTAACTGATTCCCGGGGGGAGTAAACAGCGGCACGTACTTACCCCCAGCCTGTTAGCGGATATATATACTTATATTTTGGGACGACTAACATGAGTCGTACATGAGCCTGGACCAATATCCTCGAGCAAATATCAACACAAGTAGTGCCGTCCCAGTGGCAGGGGTGCTGCTGTCAAAGAGGGCACGATTAAAGTTATTCACAAAGAATATGCTGTTAGGCAAAATATTTGATCTTAATATATGATGAACTTAATTGACTTGCGAGATGCCTGACATGACTTTGCGATGCCCAATTCTGGATTATTTAATGAGAGTCCTTAAAAGTATTTCCATATCAACTCGACTTTCAAGTGGCATGCCCCGTGCCATCTGATAGGCTGATAATAGAAAAGTCTTTTGCAGCAGCAACCAGCAACTGATATCAGAGCGTATCAGATGACATCACTTAAATTTAAAGACATATTAATCGTTGCCTAACAAATGCCAATCTAGTATCATTTTCATCCTATTCTCTATATTGACAGCACTGTCAATTGGCTAGAGCAAAGCTCTGCTAAAGTCGCGCAGCACTTCTGTTCGTGCTGCTGCTGCTAGAGCAAAATGTCATAGTGATAAAAGTTTTATCACGTAAAACTTAAGCGTAAATCTTTAAGAAAACTTTCTGGTTAACTAAAACAAACACGCACAAACACAAATACGCAGCGCACACACAGACACATGCACACACATCACATAGACAGGCAGACAGTCGTGGCGACAGAGACGCGCGTCAAAGCCCACTCCTAGAACCACATAACATATACATATATTAAGATATACTTGGATAGAAAGGAAAGAAAAAATTATGCACGCTCGCGTCTGTTTGTTGTTTGTGTGTGTGTGCGTGTGTGTGTATTTGTCTGTGTGTGTAAACACACATTTGGTTATTGCTGTAGCTAAACGGTTTTTCCGACTTGTCTTTGGCTGACCATTTTATTTGTCTGGCGTATTAATTGGGTTTTGTCGCGTCATCAACAGCCCTTGCCATGGGCTAAGGGTATTTGGGGTCCGAAATCTTTACTAAATCGCCAGACAAATTAGTTCGCAATGGGTTAGTGCTTCTTCTTCCTTTTGCCATTGCTGTTGTTGTTGCTGTTCATTCGTTATTTTTGAAACACAATGCAAAGTTTTAATGAATTTTGTTGCTTGCTTGCTGGCTAGCTGGCTGGCCTTTCTGTTAGCTTAAGTTTGCACAAAGTTGCAAATTTGGTTCTTACTTTTGTTTCCCTTTGCATTTGTGCTTTATTCGCTTTACTTTGCTGCTGTTCGTTTACTTTCGCCTGCGCTCTATGCCGCCCATCTTTGCAAATTTTCCAGTCAAGGTATTTTACATCTTTGTGCATTCATATTTTTGCAACACTCACTAAAACAGAAAACAAGGGAATGCAGCCAGTTCGCACTGCAGATACTCTGTTTACTCTCTTATATATATATAGATATATATCTTATATTGTAAACTAAATGGAGATGATTTATGTGCAAATTGAATGCATTTGCAGGCTTAAAGACATACACTTAGCTGCTGCAGCTAAAAAACTCGCTTTGAGCTTTGCGAACAGAGTATTAGTAGTGGAGGAAAAAACAACATTCCAACTACCCAAACAGAGGGAAGTGCCCAAGGACTGCAGGGGTCCCAACCATTTGGCAAATTAAGCGCCATTTGTTGTGCGTGCAGCAAGTCCTGAAAGAGGGAAACGTTGCAAAGGGGCAGAGAGGGTCGTTAAATTAATAATGTATTGTGTGCAGAGCGGTTTGTAGGTGCAGGTGAAGGTGCAGGTGCAGGCAGGCAGGTGATGCGGCCCACAGTTGACGAGCGGCGCTTTTGTGGAGGGGTCTTGAGGTCGGTCAAGAGGTGCATAATTTGCGCTGCACTTAAAAATTTATTAATTGTTTGGATTTTAACTGCGCTTAATGAGCGGCAATTGTGCAAATTAAATAAAAATGGGAGAAAGCCCCACTCAAATGGGGCTACGGAAGCAAATAATTTGTATGGCAAGAAAAACAAACCAAATCAAATGTGAAATTTATTAAAACAACTGAAGATTTGGGGGCAATTCATGCCGGAAGAATAATAATCAAGTAGATTAATAATTTATGGAGAGAGTATGAATTAATAGTTGGGGACTCCAGTGATGAATGTATTCGAATATCATTGAATTAGAGTTTCCTAACGCATATGTTTCTGAGTCTTGTTAGTTGCAGCAGCTGCTCTTGCCATTATTCCAGCTTTTTTTTAGCAAATGTATCTCCCAGCTTATCCTTTTTTCCCTTTCAATTTCAATTTTCAATCAAAGTTCCAGCTACTGCCACGAAAATAAAATGAAAATCATATTAATATGCTTATCATATTTTCCATGCCACTTCAAAGTGCACTGAAGCCAAGCATATGGTTTAAACCTAAGCCGCTCAAGTGGCATAATCAACCCCTAGCGGCCTGCGGTCCTGGGCGACCCCTTTGGGCCCGTTCACTTTTATATTAGATAACCAAATTAACCCAAAATAATGCAAAGCCAGAATAAACAATTTCTAAACAAACATAAAAAACGAAACAGTAAAGGAAAAGGAAAAGGCAAAAGAGGAAAAACTAAAAAACCGCCTGCACTTTCGGCCCTGTCAGCGGCAAGGCCAGGCCACATTTCCAGCTGCTTAGGCGCATAATCAAATGGCCATTTAAATAACTCCCTGGAAGGAATAGAACAAATTACATGCTTCAAAGTTTCAAAGGTCATAAAAAATTGCGTTCCACTGGCTCAGTCAATCAGTGGATATGGCTTTCAAGTTGGCAATGTTCAATTAAGCGTGCACAGCGCTGCGTCAATAAATTTTATTTTCTTATTTCTTGTGAACTTCGGCGAACCCCTCGAAACTTCGCTCGCACTCGCACTCGCTGTCGCCCCTAGCATATGTGACGCATAACCCAAAAGTTCAAAGTTTCCTCGATACATATTGCACATGGATGTGTTGGTGGTTATATAAATATACCGTTAGCAATAGACGTATGTTTGTGTGTGTGTTTATTTTTATAATTAAATGTATTAGGCGGGCAACCCTTTAAGCCATCGTATAAATAAATTGAAAAAAGCGGACATCGCGTTTATTGCACACCGCAGAATATCAACCGCAAATCGTAAAAAATGTATATATATATACCGATATTTATATATATACGAGCGCAATTTGTAACCGCCAGACGACGAGAAATATCAATCGATGTGGGTTCATTTGTGTGTAATGAACATTAATGAAGCGCAAAGAGCGTGACTAATAACAAAATTACCAATTGGCCAAAATGAATCGTGCGAGAGGGTGACTACAGTCGGCGACAGTTGGTCAACCCTTGTCCCCTATTCGCTTCGCCTGCCTTCCTTCTAGACTCTACTGCCAAATGAACTGGCCAAAATGGCAAAACGTTGGAAAATTGCAAAGCGACCAGACGAGGACAGACAGACAGAGACAGAGGAGAAAATCGAAGTCGCATTATAATAAAAATGCGCATAAACCATAAATGCCATTAAGTGCGTCATTTCAATTTGATTCTTGCGTTCAGATTTCGTGGCCTTGCCGAAATGGCAACGCCCACTTCATGTGGCAAGGCGTGCGGTCCATTTGCTGAGTTTGTCAGACGCCATTTGACGGAAACATTTTACATAAGAATACCACAAAAAAAACCAAAAAATATACGAGAGTTCTGCACATTAAATACGACGACAGCATCGGGGAGGGGGCGGGAGAAATGGGAGACAGCAGCGGGAAATGGGAATGCGAATACCTTTTCGATTGCCTCTACAGTTGGTGACTTCGCCTTTTCTTTGATGAGATTATTATGAATTTGGTTCGTCTTGAATATGTTAAAAAGTCATAGAAAAAATAATCTTTCCTCTCCTTTTATATTATATTAATTACATTTTTGAGGCAGCACAATGTGAGAGTGAGTGAGACGCAGTATAGATTTATATATTATATTACATTTTTTATTATTGCTGTCCCATTCAAGACTCCTAGTCTGATTAATACTTTTCTTAGCAAAACATTTGCCCACTTTTACGAAAATCCTCTTCAATTAGCATTTATCAATGAATCCGATTGCCTGTGTTTTAATTAAATGTTTCCAATTTTAATTGCCTGGTATTAAAGTCTCTAAAGCCCTGTTTGGTCCTTGCATTGAGCCACTCATAAAACGCAGAAACGACAACTTGACGAGCTACATAAAATTGTCATTAAGTAGCGCGGATGATTTTCATCAATCTATCCGTTCGGCTGTCGCCTGCCAGCGATCTGCAAATCGGGCGCCATCAAAAACTTTTTTAATTGCCATTTCAATCAGATGAGGAAAATGTCGCTTTGCATTAAAATTAATGTTGGGCGCCGCAACGAGGCAACAAAACTTTGATTTATGCAAATAATTAAGTAATTACAATTAATGCATTAATGCGCACAGTTCTTCCATGACTTTCATGTTATTATTAGCTTAGGCTAAACTCAAATTGAAATTGCAAAATTACAAAAACAGAGCAGCAACAACAATAACAAGAAAGAAAAACTCATTTTAAATGCAAATTTCTCTAAGCATGCCAAATTACGAAATACACGTACAGCATTCCAGGCCCGTAAGTGACAATTAACACTAATTGTAATTAGAATAATTTCATATTGTGCTGAACTTGTTTTTTTTTTCGTTTGTTTTTATTATTTTTTCTTTTTTATGCTGTTT